TGCGACGAAAATGTCAGCCAAAAGTGGGCCCAGAGGTGATCCCATTGCAACTCCATCCGTTTGTCTGTACAATTCTCCGTTGAAGCTAAACTGAATGTTGAAGGTACAGCGTAGTAGTATTTTCGTTTTGACATTATTTGTTGCACGTTTATTCTCTAAATGTATATAACTGTATTAGCCAGAGGATGAAGTTATCGAAAACGAGCTTGTTCGCTACTCGTGTTGTTCTGTCAATTACTAAAAGAAATGAGGTACATTAAATTATATGCACAAAACAAGCTCAGTGGTCATCCAGACCTCTGCCAATCTCGTTCTATTATTTCTGGCGTTGTCCAGCTTCTGTCTGGGTAGCACGGTTTCTGATTGGATGGTACAATCGACCTATGGTATGTAGTCCGGAAGCTGTGACACGTACGCGGTTTGTTGACGTCACCTGTGAAGCTTGATTGATCACAGTTCTAAAACTGTAATGTGTCGTTCCCGGGGTATACGTCATCTCGCAGGCTGGAATCACCACACGTCATCCACACACTGAAGGTTCAAACCTTTTTTGCTCATGTGTATGTGTATGCGTGTGTGTGTGTGTGTATTAATCAGGTTTTGTATTTGCTCCTATCTCTTCGCAGTTTACACAGTCTCGGGATAAGACGAAATCTTCACGAGAAATGCATAATTCGTGCACAAATTCGAAGCTGAACAATTGTTCTTGAATAATTTATGATCACGCCGGTACAACTCATAACAGGGTTTGTAATGCAACGTGCGCTGACCACCGTACAGTGAGGCAACTATCCCAACGGATGAATGATCACTGCCTCAAAAGGTTAAAGAACAAGGAGGCACAGGGAACATAAGAAGCGCCATTCTTCGTCACCTATTGGATACAGACCATCGAACATAGACCAGAATTCGCGGTTAGCGTAATCTGTGGCGTGTCCGCCAACCTCTCTAAGGCAGTGCGCTTAGACACACGCTTGCCACCATTGAGGCGATAGGCCCTCGTCTTTTCGCACCAGAACTTCGACTGATTCAAGGATTCCTCTTACCCTGACCTCGAGTTGATCACCAACACTCCCGTCACAATCGATCTCATTCAAACACAGACATACATAGCTCTCCAGTTCCCGAATGACCTTCCAACCTAGCGTGAAAATATGTCCCCACTAATAACAAACTCTTATATGGATCTGTACAGCCAGGATAATGAGTCAATCGAACTTGTGCCCATATGTCACAATTGGTTTGATGTGAAAATTAAAATACTAAATGGTTTGCTGCATTGAAAAATCTCATATCTAATAAACTTTAAGTTATATTATTATATATACTATATTATATTATATATATATTATATATTATATATTATATTATATTATTATTACATTATATGGCCTGATCTTGTAAATTCGATGTCCACCAATATGTTCCCAGCAGCTTAGCTCAACAGAGTGCATAAAACTATTGACTGACTGACTGACTGACTGACTGACTGACTGACTGACTGACTGACTGTGTTTGTCTATCTACTCGTTTCATTGTATTCCGGTATTTGATTTCTACTGATCAGATGAGATCTTCATAAGGCACAAGATCCCACTCTAAACAATCAGTTAATGAATCAGTGACACATTTGGAAGCACTAGGCTCGTCTCTGATACTTTTCCACAGACGCCTTCGAGGTTCGTACTCAAGTTGTAACAGTGGCAGGCAGGCAGGCAGCAAGTTTTATAACCCCTTATGGAAAATCCCGAGAATGATCTAGTCGAATTACTTTGTCAAAATGGACTCCAATTTGATAATTTGTTCATACACAACATGAAACCTTTGGGTAATCACTTTAAATTCTGGCCAGACTTTCAAAATATCATGCTTGCCTTTTGTTCACGTGTGTCGGTTTTGAACACAGCTGTTTCGCTTCCAAGTTTGTTAGATTCACGGTCAATTGATTGTGGTGGGGCGGGGTAAACCAAACCGAATTGGAACACAAATGCGCATGCGATTATTTATTTTTCCATTTTAATGGAAAATCAACGAAACTTTCAGTAATGATCAATAAATCGATTTGACCAATAATCAGATTGTAGTTAAAAACCTGTTGCATCTTTTCTCTGTCTCTCTATCTATCTCAAAACATTCTCACTAGTACAATCGGGACAAGGTAGTCATCATTCTAACTTGTTTCTCATCAGATCGATTTATTGATTCACCTCACGTCGAGTCGTCCCACATGTGCGTTTTGGAAGGTGGGGGGGGGGTAAAATAACGATTTTGTTTTCCTGTCGTATCCACGATCATCCACGCAGGTCACTTGTAATAGGAATCTATGTACACCGTGCATGTTGCTACTGGTAACAGTGAAGATACACCCTCGGATTTAAAGACAATTGGTCATTCAATCAGTCCTATTGATCGCCTTAATAAGCGTGCTAGTTTTATGACTGTTCTTTTTAATCTACCATTCCTGAGGCCCAATTTGGCTGAAAATCGGACAGATCATTACAGACTAGGAAACTACCATCACCAACAACAACAAACCAAACGGATGCACAAAACACAGGGGTGAGGGGACACAAGTCGCTCAAAGTCATTCGTGTAAAGTATTACAAAATTTAAACCAGTTTTCCATTTAGAGGAGAACAAACAGTTTCAGTGACACGTAAGTCCAAAATCACCCCACCCACCCCCTACACACACACTCGGATCCGGTATGCCCAATCATGTGGGAAAGAAAACGAAGACAGTATTTTGATTAAAGCACTATATATTATTTTATATCTGGTCAACTTAGGGAACCATAACGTAAGAAGCGATTAGTCGAAATCTTGTTTGTTTTTTGTTGTTGTTCATGCAATGAGGAAAGGTCTGTCTCTCACAATTGATCACACTGTGTACCCGGGGTGAGGTTGAGCAGGGGAGCGGGATGGGGCGGGGCGAACGGGGGGG